AAATCCCATGTAAAAAAACTTCATCACAGAAATCAATGCTGACAGTGCAACACTAAAGGATGGTGGCTTTGTTTAAGATGCTGTTTCTTCAATGAACCATACAAGAAAAGCCCCTTCTCCCTTTCAGAAGCTCATAGAAGATCCCATTGGTACTATTTGAAGAAGAACGGTTGAGTCTTTCCCCCAGTGACCTGATCAATATTTAACCTTTAATCAATGTCCATAAAACAGGTCCTCACATTGTTACTCAGAGTCACTGTCTGTAAATTGGTTGTCACATTTCCAATGTTACAATTGTGGACTGATTTCAAAAAGTGCTTGATTGGCTGGAAAGCACTTTGGGAATGTGCAAGGAGTTGTATAAATGTGAGTCACTGTTGATGATCTCAAAGTGAATTAAATTTGTGAGAACCAAGCCTGTTTGGGATTACATCTTTCTATTGATAACTCCCTGACACATTTAGGGAACAAGGTTGTGGTACAAAATCATGGACACAGGTTGTCCCACTCCACTCCAAGTTCCAAACTGAACTACCTAAATAATGAACTGAATAGTCAGGGGTGGTTTTGGCTGTTTCTAGCCATATTAGCATGTGTTGGATGCATGAGACTCTTGTGCAATTTTTGCTTCCCACTGTTAGCAAGGGTGTGCAGTTGATGGATATAATTAGAGGCCACAGCCTTGGCTTAGAGGAGAGAATAGGGAATGATTAACTACTCCTGTTTGTCGTTGGGTGACATGTACTGAAACATGCATGTCTGGATGTGATCCTGTCTGTCGTGTATTGAGGACTGTGTTGTGCATTTTGTTCACTTGAGGCTACCATAGGTACATGTACCAGCAGACAGTCTGCTTGGCAGGATAATAAAGGATCCATTTTTAACAGAGTGTCCAGTTCTCATCCTAAATATCTCTGGCTGAATATAGAAATAGTTTCACACTTTCCAGCTCACGTTGTCAATGGTGGTGTCATGAAGATATTAAGAACAGTGACTACAACCTGGTCAAAAAGGCAAATATCAAGGACCATTTGGAAGGAGGAGGAACAAGAAGAGGCTTCATTGGCAGCCTTGGGTGATGAGGCAATATTAGAGTGGTTAAGCACATAGCTCTGACAGGGTTGTAGAGCTGTGAATAGTTTTTGGGGCCCCATCTGTAAGGAAAAATACACTGCATTGGAGGGAATCTAAAGAAGGTTCACTTGGCTGGCACCAGGTATGGAAGGACTGTCTTATCAGGAGAGGTTGAGTAGGTTGTGCCTGTACTCCTTGGAATTTAGACGAATGAAGGGTGGTCTTATTGGTTCTTAGGGACTTGACAGAGTAGATGCAGAAAGGATGTTTCTCCTTGTGTGAGAGTCTAGGTCCAGAGGGCATAATCTCAGAACAAGGGATCACACTTTTAAGACAGAGATGAGGAACATCTTCTCTCAGAAGGTGAGGAAATCTGAGGAAATCTTGACGACTGAGGGCAGTCGAGGCTGGATCAATAAGTACATTCAAACCTGATATAGACATGTTTTTGATCAAGGGCTATAGGGGAATGGCAGGAAAGTGGAGTTGAGGATTATCAGATCAGCTGTGATCTCATTGAATGGCAGAGCAGACTTGATGGGGTGAATGGCTTACGTCTGCTCCTGCATCTGAGGGGCAATGGTGGGGGGAGTAGGGCAGGGGCGTGGGGGCGGATCTTGAAAACAAGAATGTGCAGTTCAAAATGAAGAATGCCAGTCTGGGAGCTGGTGAAGGTCAGCAAGCAGATGGGCAGTGGCCAGTTAGGACACAGCGTGAGTTAGGATCGGTGCAGCAGTGCCCTGACTGGGCTCAAGTAACAAGCCGTTTCCAAGTTCAAAGAGCAATAAAATAGGTTCCAGATGAATCTCCTTGCTAACCTTATTCCGCTGTGATTACAAAATGATTTCATTCCCAGCAAAGTAATATATATTTAGCCTGCAGGTCATCTTTGACCTGAAGTTTGAAAGTAATTTATATCTGGAAAATAACAGGTGCTTTTGAAGAACATGCCACAAGGGAGTGCAGATTTCTCAACACTCGTCACTGCTGAATGCTGCACAAAACATGTCCCCTGGTGTCCCCTGGTGAGACAGATGGCCTTCATTATAATTGCAGCGATGTGCATATTTCTTCCAAAACACAACACAGTAGCTGATTTGGCTGCTGGTCGATGTGATGTGCTATGTGTGAAACGCTTCACATCAGCCAGATAGCCACTGCTGCACTTAGCCACTAGCTCTGCACGCCTTCTGTCCGAAGCATTTTACGTCTCGTAAGGTGCATTTGGCCTCTGTCCAATAGGTAGTGCCACAAATCATTTTGGAGATGCTTAAACAGGATGGGACACTATTCATAGCTAAGAGCGACCTCCTGTTGCAGGTCACGTTGTGTGTACACTTTCCTGAATTGTTTGTAAGGCTGAAAAACCATTTTGAAAAATTAATATCAGGTGAAATGCAGTCATGAAGATACTGTTTTGGAGCAGGAAGGTGGCCAAATTAGACTCTAAGGTACTTTTGTGAGGCTTAAGTGTTTGATGCTGAAGGAAAAGCAACATGCATGCACATATTCTTTGTCACCTTTTCAATAAATATTTGTCTGCAGTAAATGGGTGCAGAATCTTCAAATTTCTTTAAGGCAGAGGTAGATAGATATTTGATTGGGGATATGCAGGAATGTGGAGCATAGGTTGATATCAGATCAACCACAATCTTATTGAGAAGGCTGAAAGTGCTGAGTTCTTTGTTCATATGTTCATAAGCCTGACCAGTCACAGCCTTCATCAATGTGTGTTGTTTGCATTGGAGACACAATGCTGTGCGTCGCCAGTCATCACACTTTTGACCTGATGTCTGATGATTTCTCCTGGTGAACGTGAGCCCATGTTCATAGAATCGCAGAATCCCTACAGTGTGGAAGCAGGCCATTCAGCCCATCGAGTCCACTCCAACCCTCTGAAGAGCATCCCACCCAGCCTCACCCTCCTGCCCTATCCCTTGTAACCCTGCATTTCCCATGACTAATCTGCCCAACCTGCACATCGCTGGACTCTTTGGGCAATTTAGCTTGGCCAGTTCACCTAATCTGCACATCTTTCGACTGTGGAAGGAAACCAGACACAGGGAGAATGCAGAATTTGCACACAGACAGTCCCCTGAGGGTGGAGTCGAACCTGGGTCCCTGGTGCTGTGAGGCCACAGTGGTAACCATTGAGTCGCTGTGCTGCCTGTGTTGTAGAAGCTGCCATTTTGGTGTTGCTCCACCCAGCTAAATCATCGAAAGACATTCCTAGTCAAGGCTAATATGAGAACGCTGAGTGATTAGGTGAGAGCAGCTGATGCATATTCAAATGCCAGGGAGTGCAGTGGAGGTTTGAAGATTTTGGGAGGGACAGCTTACAGAGGATTTTTTTTAAACCTTGAAAATGTGGTTCTGTCTTTTCCCTTCTGGTTCCTCGCATCTTTACCAGTGCTACACACAGGCTACACCCAGATCATGTAAATGTGGGAAAAGCTATGGAAATTTCCAAAGCAAGTCCCAAAGCCATTGAAAAGCCATGGAATTTTATGACCCTCAGAGATGAGACTTCCCAGATTTCAATTGGAGTTCCAAACTTTTCCAAAGTTTTCCTGACATCTCCCTCTCCCTCTCCCTCCACACAATCGTTTGCTTCCCTTCACGTAGAAGTGCAGGTAAATCAGCTGATAACTCCAGGAACACATTTCACCGAGTGCAGAAATTCTCCAAAACAAGATAAGTTGGTGAGAGATTGAAGTTGTTGTGTCACTGGCACACAGTTCCAAGCTTGTGTAATGTACCAGAGCTCAGGACACGTTTGAAAGAAAAAAACGATCACAAAATATTTCCGAGATAGTAGGAACTGCAGATGCTGGAAAATCTGAGATAATGAGGTGTAGAGCTGGATCAACACGGCAGGCCAAGCAGCATCATAGGAGCAGGAATGCTGACATTTCGGGCCTAGACCCTTCTTCAGAAATATTTCCATTTGGCTGTGGAAGGTCATGAAATCATATTATACGTGGATCCTGTATACAGAAACAGCCCGTGTGAACAGAACACTTGTAACTATTCTTTTCCAAAGATTTTTATTTTATTCATTGATGGAATGTGGGCATTGCTGGCTAGGCCAGCAGCTACTGCCCATCCCTAATTGCCCAGAGGGCAGTTAAGTGTCAATCACGTTGCTGTGGGCCTGGAGTCACATGTAGGCCACACCAGCTAATGATGGTAGCTTCCTTCCCAAAAGGATATTAGTGAACCAGATGGGTTTTTCCCCGACAATCTACAATGGTCATTATTAGAGGATTTTTCTCCTAGGGTGAGAGAGTCCAGAACTAGGAGACATAGGCTTAAGGTGAGAGGGAAAAGATATATTTCGGGTCCTAAGGGGCAACGTTTTCACGCAGAGGGTGGTGTGTGTATGGAGATGAGCTGCCAGAGGAAGCGGTGGAGACTGGTACAATTACAATGTTTAAAAGGCATCTGGATGGAAATATGAATAGGAATGGTTCAGAGGGATATGGGCCAAATGCTGGCAAATGGGACTAGATCAGATTGGGATGTCTGGTTGGTGTGGATGGGTTGAACTGAAGTGTTTGTTTCTATGATGTATAACTCTCTGATTCTTAATTCCAGGTATTTTTTTCCAGTGAATTCAAATTCCACCATCTGCCATGGCAGAATTTGAGCAGAATGCCAGAATATTACCTGGGTCTCTAGATCACTTATCTAGCAATGATACTATGAGACTATTGCCTCCTTATATAATGTATGGTTCTCTGAATGTGCTGGTAGGGTCAAAGATCTTTCCCATCCTGACTGTTAATGAATGTGATGATTGGTTTCCCATTGAAGTGTTGTGGTCCTTATAGTGATGGTGAAATGTATAAAGTGCCTTGAGCATGATAAACCATCCCAAAGGTGCTATATAGGAGCATCATAAATTCTAATTACACATTGGAAAAATGACGATATTTGGGCAGATTATCAAAAATTTGATTGAAGCCACATGTTTTCAGGAACATCTTCAAGGAAGAAAGAAAGATGAAGAGACAGAGAGGTTTAAGGAGAGGGTCAAGAAGTTGGGGCCCAGGTAGCTGGAGGTTGGCTCAGAAGTGTCTCTAAGGTAGGGAAAATTAGGGTGATTGTACCCCAGGCCCGGTCCTGGGGTCCTTGACATTCAGGAACACCCAGTCACCAGGATATGCGTACCCTTTAAGATTGGTGAAAGTGACACCATGTGACTGTGGAAAGCTTGGAGAGGCACGAGGTGGGATGAACACACAATATGAATTGCCACAGCAGAGCTGGGGTGGTGGGGGTTGGGGGGTTGGGGGGCACGCAGAGGTTGTTGGGGAGGGGGCTCACATTGTTATTTGGACGAGCCCCCCTCCCCAACCAAAAGTCTCAGACCACAGTCCCCAGTGGCAGAGTGATTGAAATCTTGATGCTCAGAGGCCAGAAATAGGGCAGTGCTGAGATGTAGGAGAGTCATAGGGCTGGGGAGAGATTACAAATGCAGGGAGGGGTGAGTCACAGAGAGACTTGAGAAGCAAAGATGCGAACTTTAAAATGAAGGGATTCTTTACCAAGAGCCAATGTCAACAAGCGCAGGGGTGAAGGGGGATCAAGAAGTGTTGCAACTGAAGGCATGGGCAGTAGAGTTTTGGATGACTTCAAGTTTATTAGAAAGTGAGAGACCAAGTCATTGGAAAAGTGTATTGGAATAGTTACGTTTAGAGATGACAAAGGTATACGTGAGGGTTTCTACAGCTGATGAACTGAGACAAAGGTAGCTGTTTTCTTACTGAATGATTTATCGTCCTCCAGTGCACCCAGGGGTCATTAAGAGTAAACCATGTGGTGGGACACTAGATTTGCATTCAGGTAACTAGCTAGAAATGGCAATTTCCCTTCCTGAAGGACATTAACAGAGCACTCTAGTTTTATGACAATGTTGTAGTTTTCATGCTAATGCTTCCTTTGCCAGTTAGATTTTAATGAATTTAATTTCAGAGCTAAGATTTGAACTCGTGACCTTTGGATTGCTAGTCCATTACCATGATTACTACGCTGCTATAACCTGTTTCCGAACCAGTTCAAGTACAATGAGATTAATGTTAGTAGGATTACTTTTGTACTGGTGAGCCGTAAGCCTTTGGCATGTGTGTTGCAATAAAACTGATACTTCAGCCTTGACACGGTGTGCCTGTAAATCTTTCCCATTTGATCAATTTTCAGGAGGTGCCTGAATCACCCATTTCCACTGATAACATTTGCCATTTGTGCTGATATAGATCGTACAAGCCCAGCAATGACCCGTCTATTAATTCATGTCTTTATATTTTAAAAGAAAGTTTCACTCCTATCTCCTTGCTGTCGGTGTGTAATTCTCTCTTGTATTTCTTTGATCTGCAGATCACCAGAAACTTGAGCGCGAAGCAAGAATTTGTCGGCTGCTGAAGCATCCCAATATCGGTATGTCATTTCAAAAGACCATGGTGATCTGTTGTTTAATTAAGATTGGGGGGGGTGGGGGGTGGAGTTGGGGGGCGCGCGAGGGAGGCAGGGAGTGTGGGACTGATTTCTCTGAAGGATATGGGTTCATGTGGTAAAGAGGAAGGGTCAATTTTGCTTTCGTATGGATCCCACAAGGCCACTCTCAATATCTCCCTCATGATAAAACTGTGCTTGCCCTTAGTCTGGATGACCTCTTTCACCCTGTGTGTAGATTATGTTTTGACTCTCTGTCTCTCTTCCTTTACCGAACCCATGTATGCTGACTGACACGCGTGCACGCACACATAGACACGCACGCACAAATGAAAACACATCCACAGACATTCAGATGCACACAGACAAGCACACAATACAGATACACACACAGATGCACACAAATACATGTACAATGGATGCACATACACAAGACATTGGTGAGGCCACATTTGGAGTACAATTGCAATTCTGATCATCCTGCTATGAGAAGGTACTGGAAGGGATGTAAAGAAAGACTTACAAAAATGTTACTGAGACAGGAAGCTTTGAGTTATAAGGAGAGGCTGGGACTTTTCTGCCTGGAGTGTAGGAGGCTGAGGGGTGACCTTATAGAGGTTTATAAAATCACGAGGGGCATCGATAAGGTGAATAGCCAAGATCTTTTCCTGAGGGGAGGTCAAAACTAGAGTACATAAGTTTGAGGTGAGAGGGAAAAGATTTAAAAGGGACCTGAGGGGCAATGTTTTCACACACAGGGTTGTGTATACGTGGACCGAGCTGCTGGAGAAAGTGGTTGAGGTGGTTACAGTTACAAAATTTAACAGGTATGTGGATAGGAAAGGTTTAAAGGGATGTGGGCCAAACGTCGGCATGTGGGACTAGTTCAGTTTAGGAAACCTGGTTGCATGGACAAGTTGGGCTAAAGGGCCTGTTTCTGTGCTGTTTGGCCGTGTAACTCTATGACTATGTACACACATGAACATACGCACACATGCACAGAGATGCACACAGGTAGAGACACAGATATACAGTGTCTCACTTATCCTATACAGTGTCTCACTTATCCCTGCATGCAGAGATGCACACAGACCACACACACACATTGTACAGAGCTCACTGGCTAAGCCAGTTCACGATGAGCAACGGCAGAAGCCTGGATAATAGTTGGCCGGTCACATCTTGTTTGGGGAAACTGTCCCTGATTATTAAGTGGAGAGGCTGAAGTGGATGAGGAAATTGATATTTAAAAGGGAACTCGCTTCTAGGTTACATTAGTCATATTCCAGGAAATACACTTTGTTACTGCTTCATTGTGTTTTTAAAAGAGACTTTGGAATAAAGCCAGCCAGTGATAGGTTTGTGAGTGGTCATAAATGTTCTTTCACCCCGATGGTACCTAAATTTCTTTTTATTTGTCAGACTGATCTTAACAGGGACAAATTAATTGCTGAACACCGAAATCCTGAGATGACAAGTGGCACCAAGGCAATCTAGTAATTTACGGTTTGTGACAAGAAGATAGTTTTAACATCAGAAAAAATCAGTTGTTGCACCTTCACATTGATTCTCTAAGTAAACAGAAGGGTTGGTTTAGTTCCAGATTAGCACTGAGATGTATCATTGGCCATTAAAGCGATCAAAAGAGGATCTGTTTGTCCAGGATGTTACCTGGGTTGGAGTATATTAGCTATAAAGAGAGGTTGGATGAGCTTGGATTGTTTTTGCTGGAGCATGGGAAGCTGTGGGGTGACCTGGTGGAAGTATATAACATTATGTGAGGCATGGATAGGGTGGGTAGTTAGAATTGTTTTTTGCTGCAGGATGATAATGTCAAATACGAGGTAGCAAAGGTTTAAGGTGGAAGGTAAAAAGTTTAAAGGAGATGTGCAAGGAAATTTTTCTTTTTACACAGCAGGAGGTAGGTATGTGCTGCCGGGGAAGGTGGTAGAACCAGATGTGATAGCAACGTTTAAGAGGCATGTAGGTAAATACATGAACACGCAGGGAATAGAGGGATCCAGACCATGTGCAGGCAGATGGGATTAGTTTAGAATGGCATCATGGTCAGCACAGACATGGCAGGCCGAAAGGCCTGTTCTTGTGTTCTACTGTTCTATGTTCTATGACCTAATAGCATTGTCCATCAGCAAATGAACCATTGCTTCAAGGAGTAGGAAGGCAGGTCCAGAGTCAGCTGAGTTTCTTACTCCCGCTTCTGAAGAGTCATATCTGACTCAAAACATTGACTGTTTCTCTCCACAGATGCTGCAGATCTGCTGAGTTTCTCCATCATTTTCTGTTTTCTTTTCTCCTCACGTTGTGTGAGTAATGGCGATGGATAATAGGTATGAAATGGTGAAAAGGAAGACTATTTCTCAAGAGGGGCAAAGGAAGGTACGGCTGGGACAGGAAATGCAGGGGAAGCAAATCCAGGTCGGACCATCAATACAGGGATGATCCATGTAAGTATCTTGGAGCGGGCCTGAGGAATATTGCTGGAGGATTGAGGAGAGATGGCCAGAGATGAAGAGAGAACTTTAACCGCGAGTCAAGACAAAGAACAGCAATTTGCTAAGATTCTGCAAATGTCAAACTGTCACAGTTAATGCATGAAAGTGCTGACGAAAATTACCAAGTTAGGTCATAGATTTTACATTTCACGAGATGAAAAGGATATGCTACGCTCTGCTTGTCTCAAGGGTGTGAATGCATGGCCAAAGTGCAGATTTTCCCTCAACATTTTTTTGTTCTGCTATTGAAATGTAACATGGTATTTGAATGGAGGGACAACAAGAAGCAAGAATTCTTTATTCCACTGGCATCAGGTTGCTAAAAACAGGAAAGGAAATTCAGGACAAACAAGGACCTATTAACACTGTATACATGGAATGACCGTGTGGGTTACATTGGGCTGTGGAATTCCTTTTCTGACTCCTCTCCCTTCTCTCCCTCCACCAAAGATATTCCAGTGAAAGTCCATTCTCCTGCCCTCCCTCACTGTTGCTTCCTGCTGGAGGACGTCCAGGTGAACTGCTCAGCTCCCTTGCACAGTCCCTCCATCACCATCCCCATCTGCTACTAGAGGTCCCATCACAGAATTCTTCTGTAAATCGGTGTCCAAGTCAAATTCACAGCAAACAAAAAGGAAAATGCTTTCTGTTAAATTCATTTTTGGAAATGTGGGCTTTGCTGGTTGGCCATCATTTATTGCTCATTCCTAATTGCTGTTGAGAAGGTGGTACTGAGCTGCCTGCTTGAACTGCTGCAGTCCTTTTGGTGCCAGTGTATCCTTTGGGGAAGGAGTTCTAAGATTTTGACCCGGCAACACTAAAGGAACTGCAGTATATTTCCAAGTCAGGATGGTGAGTGGCTTTGAGGGGAATTTGCAGGGACTGGTGTGCCCATGTATCTGCTGCCCTTGTCCTAGAATGTAGAGGTTATAGGTTTGGAAGTTGCTGTCTAAGGAGCCTTAGTGAATTTCTCCTGGCTTAAAAGGGGCCAGTTAGTGGTCTCTCTCATGAGTGATCCTACCAATGTATTTATTTTTTGTGAACTCTCCTTGGTTGGCTGTTGCTTTTTGAAATCCTTCAGTGTTTAATTCCAGGTTTGTATTCTAAATTGCGTTTGCAGTAGGTTCTACCTGATCCCTGTGAGATGAGCAATGGAATTACCTTGTTTCCTGAATCATATATTGAAGATAATGAGGGATTCAATGGCCCTTTGGGTTTTGTAATTTGAGATTTTGAGTAGGGAAACAGCATCAGGAAATTGACAAAGATGGGAGGGTGGGCTGGGGGAAACAACACAATCATATTCAGGGAGAGGTCAGTGGAAAGTTATGAGGGGAATGGATCTTGAGGAGGTATTCCAAGTTGGATGGAGAGAGGGGCTTTTGGAGGGAGTCCCAAGAAACAGGCCTGAGATGAACCAGTACCTTGTCACGAGTAACAACTCAAACAAAGTTGAGGGAGTGCACAGAAGGTCAAACTGAAATCACCCAACCATCCAAGACAGTCCTAGCTTCTCCAGGGAATAATCTTCAAGGCAATACTGTGAGCAACAGCCTGGAGAAAAACTGTGGAGGAATTCTTTAAGAGTTTACTTGTTGTAACAATTTCAGACCCTTGGTAGTCCAAAACTTGAGTTTTGCTGAAAAAAGGACTCATTTTGTTGAAGTTTTTCATCCTGCACCCCATCAGGACAATTTGCAAGAATGGCAATCCAAGGACAATGTGCAAGAATGGCAACCCAAGAGGAAAACCAACAGTCCAGTTGCATGAGACGAGTGTGCTGGTTGGTTGGTGAGTGAGTGGCCTCTGATTGGTAGAAGTGTTGCCATGGAGAATGCACCAGTTAATGACCAGGCTCACATTGTGGTGCACTAGAAGCTATGGGGTTTAGTACTTGGTACCAGCATGGCTCTGGAGGCTGAACATCCCAATGATTGGCAGACTGTATCATACATCACGGCCCATTGACCATTCTCACGCTCAACCAACCCGTGTTTGTAAAAGTTTATCCGCCATTAGATGTGATTCCTGTCTTGTAAATCATTCATTAAATAATCCGGATTGTCCTAAGAGTTACACTGGAAACCAGTTTCAAATCATCAGCTTGGCTCGCAATGTGATATAAATGTGCAGGCCAGAAGCTACATGGATGAGTACTCAGGACCAGGTTTATGTCAGTGAAAGGAATTTGTACAATCGTTGCCTTTTTTATGAAAAAGGCAACAGCCAATTGCTGCTGCGTCCCCAAGGCAATACCATGACCAATTGGAATCTATCTGTCTTGTCTAAGAATTAAGATTGATAATTAACTGTTCTTGCTGGATCTCCATGGCGATGGTGGCACATCTATTTGGCATCCTCCCCTCATTCTGTATAGAACGATGCACCAATTTTCAAGTCTAGTTTTTGCGTCCTAGTCCTGATGAGTGCAAGATAGAAAGCTTTGACTTCTGCTTATAGGGGAAGATGATG